AGATTGAGGTTATCGTAACGATTATCATTAAAGTATTGAATAAAAGAGCATTTCTAGATTTCGCTGTTAAATAATAGTGCAATATCGACATTATAGACGTAATAGATATAAGACTGTATATTCTCTATCTTAACTGATCTTAGCATCTGTGCTCCATTAAACGTAACATTGAAACACATCAATGATTGCGTTCAATAGTGAAAGTAGCTTTTGTTGTAAATTTTTTTAATACGTACGATTGATTTATACATTTAAATCCAGTGAATGAAATTAAGAGCAAGACCAATCATATTCAAGAAATTTACAATGGTGTCAAATCTATTTATCTGCTGAATATAATATTTCTTTTTAATTCGTTTTGAGTGGGGAACGCAATAGAGATTTACAATTATTATACTTATATGTATAATATCTTCTAAGAATAGGAAAGGCAATCATGTGTATAGAAGAGCGAATTACAACTTTATATGTCATTATCTTTATTACTGATATTTTAAAGAGAAAGAGAGCGATACACATAGAAAGAACAGTTTTGCTGAAGAATCTAAAAATTTACCTAGATACTAATCTGAAAATAAATTTATTGGACTATATCAAAATAATAATATAGAACGCTCAAGCTAATTGTTGAAATCAGCTGAAATGTGAAATTTTTTCGCTACATTACGGAGATAAATATAAAGTATAATAATATGCGTCAGAATTTTAGTAAATTTTATGGAATTGGCAAGTCCATATTATAATGACATTCGCCTACTTATGTATAATTTATTTTACTTTTCTAATAAGTGAGCAATCGTTGTACAGTTATACTGTAAGGTACTTTTTACATTTTGTAAAGTAAATTTTAAGAATTGTTTGTGATACAATTTATCTTACTGTAAAATAATAATTACTTTAATGGATTTACTAAAATTTTAATTACTTTTTATACCTTATACTTACGATATTTTTATCTTCAGTCAAGTAAAGTTTGTCAAAAGTTTCATAAAATAGCCAGAATATTTTTATTAGTCTGTGATAAGGTAAAAATTATTCAATAATTTTTTTTGTAATTGCTCATCATGCTGAGGTCTATTCTGTAACAACTGTAACGATATAGTTATGATCGTTAAGAATTACACAATAAACCCTTAAATTTCCTATAATTATTTTGATGGTTTAATAAAATTATTTTCAGAGCTGTGTGTATTATCTTAATTTTCAAATACTCTTCATCAAAATTGTTCGTGTTTGTATTAAGCTATCTCTCTCCTTCTAAATAGTGACTAACTTAATTAAAGTACGCAGTCTATTTTTTTATGTTTGTGATTGAGATTTATATCAATATTTACGATTTTATGATTTTCTTTTTTGTGGGCAATGCGAGATTGAGAATCCGCCGATCAATCGCGAGATTCGATACGACTGAGGGTGCGGTCACTGTCGTCATCGACAAAACGCATGCATCGTGCGATACAAGATCGAAGGGGGAAAGTCGTTCGCCGTGGAAACGAGCCACGGCCAGGCCGATGTGCCGGTTTTACGTAAAGTGAAAATCGTCTCTTAAGAGTGCTGAGAGACGCGAGGAAAGTGCGCCGAAATGAGCAGAGACGTCTTGCGAATCGCGCGCGTAAACAACACGCTTGTCAAACGAGTAATACATCTTGCGAAGATAAATATACTTTTTACGAGCGCAATACATTTTCACGTGAATATTGCTGTGACCTCCGTTACTGGAAATAATACAAGACAATGGAGAAGGAACGCGCTCATTATATCGCGCGGATTATTTGAACGAGCAGTAAAGACGAAGACGTCGATTTACTGCACGTACCACTTACAGAAACTTGTGTAATAAAAGGGTTTTCACGCTGACAGAGAAACTATAAATGCCTTCGAAAATCGCACTCGGTAATCTTGGTATTATTGAAATTGTCAATCGGCGTACATTTATGACCGCGGCGTTTCTCGCTCGAGGATCGTTACATTGATTTACAATGTATTCCAGTGATGACGGATGCTCCATTGTATCGCGGTGGTCGAGTTAAGAAGAGAAGAGCCTGTTTTACTCGATTCTTTTTCAAATAAGTATTTTTCTAACCACCTTTATATTACAATTAAAGCATAAATAATAATGTAGTCTAAACCGATCAATGTTATGTTAAAAACGAAAAATATTGGAAAATTAGTTTTGTTATCGACTTCTAGCGTCGCAACATATAATAACATTTACTTTATATACATATTTTATAATTTATGTCTAAAACAATCTTCATTTCGTATATGTGTAAGTCTTACTGAATCAGTAAAACAGATAACTTCTGGATCCCTTTAAAGTATCTACAATAAGGTTTTAAGGAGAAAAACTTGTGCTCCAAAGTCGTCGATAGACCACCTTGCGATTTTTCTCAGCTCGTATATACGTGGAGATATCTATCTCGCTTTTTTACTTGTCGGAAGAAGTTTTGAGTCCGCGTCGATGGACCTAACGTATACATACGCCCCCGCGTTGGAAAGCAGGCGCGAGGAATGATTAAATCGCACTGATCATTCATAACTGCCACATAAACGTATTGAAGAAACGCGCCGATCGCGGGACCGCATGTTATCGGCACTTATATTTATCGAGTAACCGCCGAGCCACGATTCGTTATGATAAATTGAGATCCGATTAACGTCGCGTCGCTTTTACACTGCAATAAAATGCACGCAGACCGCTGCAGCTGTGCACTTGTGCAATTTGTGACCTTGATAGCATATGCTATTCGAGTTGTAGATTGCCAAATATTGTGCGCTCGTTTTGCAAACGACGCATGTCTAGACAGTTTATGGCTGCTTCAGCTTTTTGGGTGCGTAATTATTACCAATTACCAAACGTTATTACTTTCATCATGCTTGATTTTGCATGAGAAGAGATATAATCGTAGAATTGCAAAATTGCGAATATTATTCGTTAATTATTCTGATAATGTAAAGGACAATTCTGTCAAAATATTAAAAGATTTAACTAGATACAGATCTCAAAGTAATTGGGTTATTAAAATAATTTATATTATGTAGGACAATTTATATTATCTTGTCCTAGAATGTTAAAGCATTACTTTTTGCAGTATTACTTGTCATACTTGAGTTTTCTACATAATTATTTGGATAATATGGTCCAATGATATTATTTTTTTAGATCTAGCTAAATTTGGAAATACTTCAGTAAAAACATTTTTTCAATGTACTGCTTTAATAACGAAATTTAAACATGAAAACACTATTTTATTTTAGCTATTATTCTTTCGCTCTTTTTTTATACGTTGTTTTATTTATATAATTATGTTTTTATAAAGATAAAATATATAAAAAAGATAACGTAATTATATAAAGGCTAATGTACCAACCATGGAAATAGTTTGTTATGAAACTAAATAAATACTTTTCATAACCGTCACGATAATAAATGATGTTTAAAACATCAACACGATAATTAATATTGCTTCTGAGTTAACGTATCAAAGTTTTACAATGAAGATGAAAGTAACTTTTACCGATAATCTAAAAATAAAGAATCGTGAGGAACATAGAGAAAGTTACATTACACAATAAAAACAAATCGTGTTTAAGAATTTCGGCAATGAAAATATCGAAGAATTATAAAGAAGTAAACCTTCTCCGTTCACTAAGGCGAGATTCACATTATTTTTCTCTCATTTCCTCAAACAAGACTCGTTTTTCTGACCGTGCAATTATCCTGTTTGGCAATAATTCGGGTCGCGAAATCCATCGGCCGTTTCTTCGTCGACGAACACGCCGTTATAACGTTAACTTGCGCGACCTGAATTATTTTTGCCTGTAACGCAGCCCGGTCATTGTTCCCTATAGACTTTCGAACATTCCCCTCTCTTCTCTCTGTATGCACAAGCGATCTTATTTATCATTTTTCGCACGTACGAAATCGGTATAATGCAGCGCCGCAGCTATGTAGGTTCGATAAATCTTTGAAATAAAATAAATAAGAATGCACACTAATTCACGATTTCTAACGACAAAGCTATTTAAAATGTTCTAAACGATTATTGTGTTTCTTATTTTTCAATATTAAATAACGAGAGACAGTATAAAAATAAAATACACAAGAGTCTCTTATAAATCCATTTCATATAATAATATTTCTTTCAAAACCTTTAACATTATAATAATGAATCATTAATTACAGTTTGTTACAGCAAAATAAATATGAGGTATTTTAAAAGCATATCGTAAAATGAAAAAAAAATAAGGAAAAGTAATAAGGCGCTGTAAGAAATTCTTGCCCGATCGCGATGAGATTGTAAAGTCGCAAAACACAATATAGTCGCTCTTTAAATTGCGTTCTTGACTGTTCCGCCAAGGACTTTCGCTCGAGGAGTTGCCTAAGTTACGGTTAATTAATAGACAGGTAATTAGCTAGCTAATCGGGGCACTCGATAGATCGACATGCACTGAATGCGGTATTGCGGTATCGGACGGCGTTTGTTCCTCTTCTTGTGCCGAGGTTTCCAGGCAAATATTGACACTGACGATAGAGATGTCACACGTCCTTTGAAGCTACTGACCGTCCGCAAGAGCATACAAAGATCGACGGACTGGCGGAACGAGTTTATTTGCCTCGGTTAATTCCTTTACGCCTCCGGCGATTTAGTAGCAATTAGCGTAGCTAGTTATTACCCTCCGAGAGTAAATTGTTAGAATAACGTTAACGTTCTGACGTTGACGTCGTGTTCCCGACGTTACATTCGCGTTATACGAAGCGCTTTCTCTGTTTGTAAGATAATTTTATTATCTCTGTTACGTGGACTATTAAAAATATGCAAATATTTCCGCATGTTTAATGCTTATATTTTATTAAATTCAATGGAAATTTATATACGCGATTATGGCGATGTGATAATGATGTAAATATGAATGTATGTATTATGAAATTTAATATTTAATTTGTTTTGCAGCAACCGTCTGATATTAACGATTTTATGTCTTTTTTTTCAGGCTGAAGAAATCAATCATATCGTAGCCATGAACCTCGCGCTGCATGGATTTTTGCTGCAAGGTAAGTTTCTTCATATTTCTATCGTTTTGATAGCGACAAGTAAAATTTACAACCGATGTGCGAATTAAATTATAAGAAATTCCCGATTTCAAATTGGAAAAATATAAAATATGTATAAAGCACAAACTTTATTTATCATTAAATTTATTATTTAAATATAATTATATATAATATTATACATATATAAGTAATCTAAATATAAGAGTAACATATAAATAATAATATATATTTTAATTAAATTACATAATCTTCTTATACATTACAAGTGAAAATAAAAAGAATGAATAGTATTCAAAATTTCCATGGAATATTTTTTGAAATTTTATTAAATATCGCGCGCGTTGGAATGTAATATAATAATATACGATGAGATAATAATTCCGCTTTTTCCCGGTTCCATGATTCATCCCGTTCGTATGTAGGCGACACTTTCTTCATGATCATCCTCCGCGGTGCAGGACGCATAAAACTCGACGTCTTACGATAGCAATCAGTCCCCCCCTCCCTCGTTGTTTCTGAGGTTTATGAGGATGTTAAAGTGACCAAATTATCGATATTATAATCGTATAAAAAAGTTAAAATCTTACTTAACTTTCTTTCGATTTTAAATTTTAATATAAAGTACATTGCACCACCTCTCTCTTCTAATTTTGCGTCTGATTTTAATTCCGTAAAAGGATTTTTTATTCTGTTCAGTCAATTCGAAGATTTTTACACGACTGTGACGTCGATAATTTGGTCACTCCAGCATCTCCTTAAGCAGGATTAAGTACAATTTGACTTGCGTGCGCGCGATCTCGAAGACGTCCTCGAAAGACGCCCAGATCGGCTTGCTCGCTAACTAGGTTTTCGTGCCGAGACCAAGGTGTTTCCTACGTAGATGTAAACACGCGCGTGGCGATCGGGTACGATTCAAGAATCGCAAATGAATCGCGCGAGCGAACGAGCTAACAGCGCAACACGCCGCGAGAATCGCGAATGAATCGTCTCGCGCAATCAGTATTAGAGATCGTTGAAAAAAGGACATGGATATATAAACGTATAATAAATTTAATACTTTAATAAATAAATAGATACCGATATGTGTATGTGTATAACACGAAATAAATAAATAAGTAAAATAGAATGTATGAAATATAATATACATTATTTGATGTATAAAATTTGAAAGTTTTATATAACGAGAAACAAGTCGACGAATAAGTTATCTATATTACGTTGACTATAAACGTAACTCTGAAATTGCTATTCTTACGTTCAAGTTTTTATCGCATGGACCGCAGAATCATTAAATATGAAAAGCATGTAGGCATTACTATTATGGAAAGAATAATTTTGCTGGTATTGAAAAATTTAGATAGGAACAGATTTAAAAATAACTTTGTTGGATTATATCGAAAGAATTACGTAAAAATCTCAAGTGTGATGAGCTGCTAAAGATTTCGACGTTCTAGCAGTCAGCTTGAACAGCTTACGTAATTATTTTGATAGTCTAACAAAATTAAATAATTTTCAGCTCTGTAGTTAAACTTTCAGATACTTCAGCAAAACTGTTCTTTCCATGTATAAAATTCCGCCTGAGGGTAAAAAAAAATATTAATATTTATTTATTCCGTGAGACATAAATTTAGAATATATAAATCAAATACGCATTCTATGATTAATAAATTAATTAGAAGGAAAATTAATGCGCAAGCTGAAAAAGATATCGTGGCATTTATTCTTTCACTCACAGAAATTTGAGAACACGAGAGTGAAACTTGAGAGATGTCCAAATCGCAAAATCCATGATGTTATTAATTGGTGAGGTATATAAAAATTCAATCATATATATTTTCACATCTGTGTGATACCGGATACCGCTTTATGACGGTATCTGAAAGATGGAAATAATTTCTAAAGACCGAGCGTATGCCGCTGTAACGTAATCACGTTAGCGCAAAGAGCTCATGGCCCGTAAAGTATAAATTCACAAGAGAACGACGTGGAAAGGTGTCAACACCGGTGATAATCGGCGCCGGATGGAATCGGGAATTGAAGAATGAAAGGATGATACGGGCATTCTGTGCAAATCGCGCGTAAGCGCCTCGTCAGACCACCAGCTGCGTTCGCGAGGTATAAAATGTAAATCCCGAGTTTTCTCAAGGCGCACATTTCAGCAGGGTAGCCGGATGATGGGCGCCTTACACACGGTTGCAACGAACATTTCGTAAGCGATTGATAGGATTCAAGAAAGCGCAGGAACAAAGCGTGGTTTGAATTTGCGATAATTTGCGCAACTCTTTCTTAGCGATTTATTGTGTTAGGCTTCTATGTATACATCCTTAAGTGTGTATCGTGAAAAATTGAAGGCACACGTTGAGATACAAACCTTGCGTAATTACAAGACATAAGACATGCTTTTGTTCGGGAACAAAATTGCTTTTAAAGAAGATTTTTCCTTCCACAAATGACACAAAAATTCTTTTGCGCCGTTTGTTAACCGTAATCTCTACCGCGAAGAAGATTCTTATCGATTCCTGCCGCGTTCTTCGTTAAATTTATCACCGAGACAGCGCCAGACGTGGCCGCTTAGCTCGCGAGCTGCAATCAGATTGCATGCAACGGTTCCTCGAAGCTAGACAAATAAAAGGTGCAATCAAACGCCTACACTTCGCGCTAGATATGGGACGTATGCGAATACGGGGTCGTAATAATCGAGACTCAGACTACGGTTGGATGACGCACCGGACGGGCCGATTTATCTGCGGATTCTACACGTTCCGCATAAAAAACACCGTCTATTGAAGCCCGACGACGATGGACGGAATGCGGCCTCGTGGGATATCCGCGCGACGAACGTATGTATGCATCGCGGTCGCGACACGTGGGATGCCCGTGCATCGTCACTCATTTGCGCGTTTTATCGCGGCCCGCCCGCGGGATACCTTTATCCTCGATGTTTTACGAGCTTCCGTTTGTCAAGGACGCTTTCCAGGTACACGCCGACATGCAAATTTGACGATAAGTCAACTTTAATTCCAAATAATTGCCGATAAAAAGGATAGGAGCAGTGCTTCTTTTGCGAGAGGTCCATTATTTGTTCTTTTTGGTTCAGAAATCTATACCATTGTATTCGTACATAATCTACAAATTAATCGCAGTCAATGTGTTTGGCAAAAATTACTTTTTTTCTCTCTGAAATGTTAAAATATATACCACAAAGATTTGTTGCGTTAAACACGATGTTATAGAATTTGCATGGCATATCAGAATTTTTTAATAAATTGAGATGGTTTTTGGCTTCAATTCATTAAAAATTCTGATGTGCCCCACCAATTCTGACAATGGCATTGTATTCACCAAAAAATTCTTCTGAATATATACAACATTACAGTATTTTAAAGAGAAAAGTGATTTTTTATTGAACTAGAAACAAGTCGTATATAATCATAAATTAAAATTCATTTCAAACCTCTTGAATTGTTGTACTTGTAGACTTTATTTAAATACAAGTTTTGGTTTTGTTAAAAAAATATTTAAAAAAACCAAAAATATGTGTCCTCAATTTACTCAAAGTTCTGATGTGCTACGCAAATTTTGCCAATGTTTCGCGTGAGTTATACATCTTCGAGTTGTATCTGTAATATCGCACTTTGAAAAGAATTCGAGTGTTGAACAATCTAACAGAAAATTAATCTTTCTGAATTTAGGTAAAGGGATCTTATTCGTTCGCTTTCTCCCGCGCGCGGCACGATTCGCCGTAACTCGAGATTCCATTACGCGAGATTCGCAGAATAGCAAGCTAAGCACGTCATTATGTAGCCATGACTTTCATTCGAAGTCTGTTTCTGCCTTAATTAACACGTATGCGCGTTGCACCGCTTGATCTCGCGTTTCCGCGTGTCTTCCGGCACTTACTGCGCTCGCCACGTGAATCTCAAGCTTACAACTGATCTGAGATGAGATTTCTAATGTAATCAGAACAGCGCATTTGGGATATACGAACTCGCGTTGAGAAAGTACTAATAGGAAATATCAAATTATGGAAGAGATGCAAAAAGATCATTTTATATTTCTCAACTGTAACATTGTGCCGAGATGAATGCTGACTTGAAACTCGAGTAATGATGAAAAAAAAGATCTTGTATAATAAATAAAAGGGGAATTCTTTTTGGTATAAGCGCAGTAATTATTATCATTATGAATATATTATTACTAGCATGATTACTGTTGTTAAATTCAAATGTTTTTTTATTATAATGTTATAATCTAATTATATTTAAAAAGTATAATTAAATTATAATATTATATTTAAAAAAGCATTTAAAATCAATAATAATAAATTTTGAGTAAATATGCCCAGACATAAGTACACGTCCATTCACTCGGACGTTTACCTAATGTGACAAGTGCCGGAATTAATAGAACGAAATAGGAAGGAATCAGGAGTCTATGGCGATAAATGCAGCAATAAAGTTCTGCCTGCGTAATGCAAAGCAAACGCGAGAGGGGTAGAAAGCGCGAGGAACGTTCCGTTCGCAGAGAGGCCGTCTTGCATTCCCAGCCCACGACTGGCGAAAGACCGCGGGAAAGTAAAAAAGCCGCGGCTACGATCACATAGAGATGAAACATAAAATGGGTCAAATAGTCGCCGGGAGGAGACGTCGGAGATGCGGATCGATTACCACTGGTATCGTCCGCGTTTAACGTCTAGTTACACCAGGTATTCATTGTCGGCGCGAAGAAAGTCACTGCGACTGTGAAGCATGTAATGTAATTCGCGAGCGTAAACCAACGCAGAAGGTACATATAATATTTACATCGCCATTTACGTATCAATGACTCGTCGTGCGGCAAATCTTTGACATCGCCGTCAATTTGGTGAAATGTCTTTGCGCGTTCAATAGCTTCGGCGATTAATATCTCATTTTGCTCTTCAACATTCAGCATCATCTTCGTGTTTGGTTTATAGATGTATGTAATAGGTATAGACTGAGCATTCCTTGATCTTAGCATTT